AGACAATGCCCATAGTTTCGCCTCATCAAAATCTCGTTCATTATAGTTTCCAATCAATTTGGACAACGTTTCATTACATTACGAGTAACTGCTTACAATAGAAAAATGTCAGTAGGGTTCACATTTTTAATTTGTGGTAGTTTCCCTCAGTTGGGTTAATTTTAGAGCAATGTTAATGTGGGCCTCCCAATGTTTAAATGTTTAATCAGACTCGTACTGCATAAATGTACTGATAGATTTGTGTTCACGGCCATTTCATTTTGATAATTTGATTTGCATTCTCAGTAAGGGGTTGACATCTGTATCATCTAAATGCTTTTTTTTCTGATTCTTTATTTGGTAATTATTTTTGTGAAACAGTTATTTCTGTGAGACGATTTATAAATACAGGGAGTTCATCCGTGAAAATTATGATTTGATTGGCTGGCTTCTAGCTTAATATTACAGAGCACAGGAAATGTATGTGAAAAGAAATACATGTATACATATTTTCATTTTAGGTAGCAGACCCTCCAATAGTTTCGCAGCTCCAGATTAGTGAACAAATTCCTTGGGAAAAAAATAATTTATGAAATTCAGACACTTTTAACTTGACTATTTGTAGAATAGGGAGGTCTGTTTTACTCAACCAGGCGTTGCGAGAATACTATCACACTTTGGTTAAGTTTTTGCGTGCAACTTATTATCTCATAAACTAATAAAGGGAATGTGTGAAAATTTTACACACTTCTTTGAGAGCATAATAGAGGGTCACATCCAAAGATCATAACTCTAACATTGATTATGACAGAGTTATGGCCCATTTAGAATTTAGAAAATTCTGCATTATCCAGGCTCTTGTTTTATAATCAAGTACTGAGAATAGAGGAGCAAGCTATCCTACTGACAGATCTTGTTTAAATAAATGATGCATTCTAAATAGGTATGAGTCTCAAAGCAATTGGTGCTTTAAAGAAAATGTCTGTAAGTTCTAATCTTTTCCATGAATTTATGCTATCTTTTAAAAAACAATTTCCATGGACTCATCAGCATGATTTTCTGCCTCCCATGATGCATCGTAACCATCTCCCAAGCTCGTCTACATCTTCTAAACTTGTATAATGAATAGACAAATGTTGAGGAAAACTGCTTAACAAGAGAACATTATGAAAAATTAATATACCATTTAAACAAGCAATTTGTGATGCATAGCGTTAAATATGATGGAATGCGTTCACGCTAAATATAACACGTTATTTTGTGTTCTTTTAAAATTCGGTCCACATCTGTCATCTCTGCAGCGTTACTAAGTAAAGAATCTTTGACTGTAATTTTCAGCACTTGATTAAAGTCCCATGAGTTATGACAATATAGTTTATTATTATTCCTCTACATAACCAGTTCAAAGGAGAAGAGTAATTATTTGAATCAATGTTTAACCTACAAAAGTGGAGAGTTTGTCACTTTTCCCTCCCTTTTCTAAACAAAGGGTAGTTTGCCTGTCTTTATACCATTAGCATTATACAGATGCAAGTCGCGGAATTCCGTTGGGCAGCTTCCTAATGGCAATTCTAAAATTGATAGGAATTCACCGTCCGACGGCCACTTGAACGTGGCAGGAAATTGCTGGTAGTTTAGAAAGGCCGTCATAAAAACAATGCCAATCAAAAGCGTTTCCAGTGACAACTGGTTTAATGAAGTGTAACTGATAGAGTACAGCTTCGACTACGGAACACGGAATGTATTTTATAAACATGCCCCATAAAATAGCTATTCCTTCTTTAATAATTCTAAGTGCTCGGTCCTTTGCGACATAAAAAGGTCTTGAAGTTCTTTGTCCCACTTGTTATTATGCAAATAAAGATTTTCACAAGCTTCAGTGACACCAATATCTTGATCTGAATTTTCTCAAGATGCGAATAAATTCTTTCGAAAGAATTTATTGTAGTAAAAAAAAGCCAAGATCCTGTAAGGGGATGTGATGAAATTCGGTTTCCATTGTTGCTAGGGACGATGTTGTGTCGTACAAGTGTCATTACTGTTATAAAATCGCCATTAAATCATCGGTCACACTTTGTGACTATAAAAATTTAGACAAAATGACATGAGATGAGATAATTCTATTTTAAGATTTTTTATTTCTATATCGTAATCAATATTCCAAAGATGTAAAACAAATGTAATAATACTTGTTCCTAAAGACTATAACTAATCTGATCAAAGAGCAAAATATTATAAAGCAGCATGCCTCCAGATTCAAGGTAATTTTCATGAAAATTTTGAATTGTATTAAATTTTGTAAAAGTAAATTATTGTAAAGTGAACGAAGCAAAAAAATTTACACATTGCAAACAGCACTTAAATTCACAATAATTACCAAAAAGAGGTTGAAATATGCAAAAATAGCACTTACTACATTGCTTATATAATCCAAAGCAAAGTAAAATATCTTTATTCTTTTGATGATGATTCAAAGACTTGGTTAAAAAATCATATTGAAACCATTTTATGTGATATTATATCCCTCCTATCTAAAAACAATAATAGTAAAAAAATGTTTGCTTTAGAGACAGAAATAATATTTGCTTTAGAGACATTAATATTATTTGCTTTTAAAACAGAGATAAAGAAAAGCAAAAATATTTGCTCTAGAAACAGAAATAATATTTGATCAAAAGACATAAATAAATATTTGTATTTGAGACAGAGATGATACTTGTTTTAGAGACTTAAGTAATATTTGGTTTAGAGACTAAAATGATAAAATGTATTATAGTTTTGAGACAGAAAATTTTATGATATTGGCTTTTTAGACAGAAATAATTTTTGCTTTATAAATTATAATAATATTATTTTGCTTAATTTCCTAAGATGATATTTGCTTTAGAGACTGAAAAAATATTTGTTTTTGAGACTGAAATAATATTTTCTATGTTCTTCCCCCCTCCCCCAGTGTTAGCAATCTTTATAAAATGATGTTTAAAGCAACACCAAATTTATTCTGGTGTGAAATTTATTTTCTTTTTTATTTTAATGTCTTGTTTTCTTTCTGAAGAAAAAATTTAAAGATTTTAAAACAAAAGTTGTATTTTTAGATTATCTTCAAGAATGAAACAAAACAATGCAGATAAAAAGTCCAATAGCAAGTTGTCTCAAATGGGAATAAAAAATAATGTTCTAAAAGTCGTTTTAAATTTCTGAAAAAAAAGTCATACAAATAACAAGGTAAAAAAGAGGGAATTCTTTATAAACTTTATAAGCATTTTGAATGTTTCTTTTTGGTTAAAAAAGAATAGGGCTGCAACAGCCATATTGTAGTTATCGTAAGTATAATGTACCGGTAAATACATTTTATAAAAAACATTTAAGACAAAGTTTACAGCATAAAAGTCAATTCCACTACAATGAAGCGTCATAAGAAATGAATAACAGTATTGCAATACAAATGTAATTAAAGCTACATGTACAAATTTCCTGCCCCTTTGCTCAGTTAGGGAGAGCATCATATTTGTATTCAAGGGTAGATTTTTTGGTCCTTGAAGGATGTTAAATTTCTCTGTGACAATTGATCTTGGGCAAAGAGTTTTATGGCCATTTATCTGTCACTGTTGTTTCAGAAATCATGACTTTGGGATAAGTAGTATGTGACTTGTAGTTAGTTATCCAGGGATGTCGGTTAGGTGGATCGGCTGATGTACAACCAAAATTATCTTAAAATCAGCGTAATAACTACTAACAAACAAATTTATGGGATAAAACTTATATCTTATAATTTGTTAATTTCATGTATAGACAATAAAAATAACTACATACATACAAAACTAGTTCTAGTAACATAAGTTTCATACATTTATAGTTAAAGTTAAGCGGACATGTAAAAAACTAATGCTAAATGTTATTTATTTTTTTAGTACCATAACATTATCCCTTGCAGCTGTATTCACTAATATTAAAGTTATTTACAGCTATCATCTCATTGAATCAGAACCAATCTCAAATTATCTGTGTGACCACAGGGTAAATCTCAGGTCCATAAACTACCAAACAACAAATTGAGATAATGAAAACGACAAAGAAATCATTTTAAAGGAAGTTGTAATTGGCTTTACTGGGGCTATGAATTCATAATGAACCGGTACACTCTGTCATTATGTCAATTAAATCCATCCTTCTATTTTGGCTTAAGTTTTTTTTTGTCCTACAAAGTGATTTTATTGTGCTTCATTGTTTTTGTTAAGGATTTGATTTTCTTTTAAAGAAAATTGAGAAGAAACAGGAAATTTCCATGCAAATTTGTCATTATAGTTCTTAATGTTATTTAAGAAACGTCATTTTATTTTTACCATTTGACTTTGATCCTGTGAATGATAAAAGCAGAGGAAACAGATCTTCTTCTGTACATTTTAATCAAATGAAAGTTGTAAAATCATAATTTTTTAAGAAAATCTTTACAGCCCAATATAAGAGGCTATGACATTTAATGTGATCAAGTATATTTCTTGTTTTTCATGGCGGCATGGCCAAGTGGTTATCATGTCGAACCATGGATTTAAGGATTGCTGTCTGCATGGGTTCAAACCCCATCAAGGGCGAGCCATTGTTTCCCTGAGCAAGAAACTTTACACTCATTGCTCAGTACTGTTTAGTTACAGGAACGGATTCGAGAATGTTTCTATAAGGTTTAAGCTTCCTACAAAATTGAATTTTATTTCTGTTTAACCCTAAGCTTGGTTGCAGCAGCAAAGTCTAACCATGCACCCAGTGCAGAATAAATACCATGGTCTTGCACTATTCGCTATTCAGTCAGTACTGGATTTCCATAGTTTTGTCCAGATCAAAAGATGGACAAGTCCATTTAAGATATCTAGCTGAGAAAGCCTTAGGGTTACTGACAGTAAAGATCAAAATAGTGATCACCCCTGAAACTTTGGCCATTTCATTCTGCCTTAAGAGAAAAAAAATAGTATTGAATATTTAATCATGCTTTAGTAATAACTGTCCCCTAAGAATTTCAAGAACAAGCAGTAAATGGAGAATTAATAGCCTTAGTCTTTTTGTTCTACTAATTGACCACTTTAAATGATAACAGGTCCTGGTTTTATAAATGGTGTAACATGGGACACAGATGTTTGACCATCTCCTGGACATATTAATCTCAAATCTGCATCTTATTTAAGTCCAGTTTGATCTTAGCCAAAAAAATTAGTCATGCTTTTTTCATCAGTAACTAGATTATTCCACTTAAGAACATATTCTATGATTAAGTTTTTGATTGCCTGCTTGTTTTGTTTATTTCCAGGGAATTAAGTTAGATGCAAAAGACATTGAACAGAGATTGGACAGATACTGAGCTATTTTTTAAGGCATACCATGAATATCTCCACTACCAAGGAATACACCAGGGGTCAGTTTTATGCTCTTTATTGTTTGTGTAATTTATGTGTTTTGGGACAATAACTTAAATTTGTGATAGTAGCTACAGATTACAGTGGAAACTTAACCCAGCCCTGTATTGCTGTTTCACTTACATAATGTGCAGTATAAGTATTGATATAATACCCCCATCAAGTCACATTTTACTGACTTATCTCTGTCATAGATTTACTATCCCCTCATTTCAAACTTAGAGCTGTCTCCTTGTTCTTGTTTTAGAACTATCCCCTCATGCTGTCTTATAACTATACCTTCATCACAGTGTTTGAATTGTCCCCTTTTTCCATTTGAGAACATCTTCTTCCAGTCTTAAATATTTGCCCTCATTCTAGTTTCAAAACCATCTTTTAATTCATGTGTATGAACTAACCCCCTATCTTAGTCTTTGAATATTCCCCACTCAAGTATTAAGACTACATCATCAGTCATAGAACATTTCCCTTCACCAACTCTCCCCTAGTCATGACAGTCTTAGGAATATCCCCTTATGTTGAGCACCATACCGTGAAGAAAGAATCAGTTTGTTCAGTCAGGGAGTTGAACCCATGAGGCATATATTTTCAGAGTTACCTCCCTTACCACCTGAATATGAAGATGATAATCATTAAAGGGTTTCCTACAGTCATGCTACCATGATAATGTGATTTAACCATTTTTAAAAGATCGTACATGCTGCATTTTCATAGGAGGTCCTTTTTGTATGTTATAAAGAAGTACAAAACATCAAAAAAATTAAAAATACATTCATCCATCTGTACTCAGATTAGAACTGCATGGTATGAAATTAAGAATGGAAACTGTAAGCTGTTTTGTTTGTTAATTTGTAAGAAACATTAATTATAAGTCAGGGCACACAATGTGAGATTAAAGACTTATAAACTTTTTGCAACAAATGTTTGATGTGATGGACATTAAAATTTAATCTGTTGAAGAACGCTTCAAGAAAAGTGTCACTTTTTGTCCTTACTTTGTAATGATCCATTTGTGCAAGATTGCACGAGTTATTTTATCATGCGATTATTTGTCACCAAATTACACGGCATGCTGATTCACTCTATGGCTTGTAACTTGAAATAACCGGTTATTATTTTCATTTAAACACTGTATCGGTAGCCCATTTTTCGAAAGCATTACCAACTAGTGGGACTCTTTTTATGGAAAATAAAGCGCTAAAATTTGACTATCGGTGAGCAAATATTTCCTTGCAAATATCTTCGCAATTGAATTTTTCACTCAGAGCATCAGTGAGACACATTAAAAAGGGTCGTTATGTGTATCAAAGATGAAATAATGTTGCAATTACTCGTCTATGGTTTCTTTTTAATGTTTCATTTGAAATGATAATCAGTTTTTTTGTGCGTCTGCTGATGCAATCGCGAGTAAATTACCCATTTCTTTTGTGTTAGAAGTGAACATTAAGAAAATGAGATTTTATGAAAAATTGATATGATTTTCAACTGAATATGACGAAAATGTACAAGCCAAATGTGTTGATATAATAATTATATTTATGTGTATTAAGTTATAGGAGTTTGAGATAAATATTTTTAAACCAGACAAGCAGTAGATTTTTGACACTGCTCTGGTAGATTTTTGTCGTTTTTGGGAGTGATCTGGGTGTATATTGATTGATAATAACCCAATCAGCTAATGTTAACCTAATATGGACGTACCGTCCTTCTTTGAAAAAATTCATGAGACAAAAAAAACAGCTTCAGCAAATTATTTTTAATAAATACCATCCGATTATTAAGGTAGTTAAATGATGTTAGCTATTCCTGTTTAACTATCCAGGAGAAGTGAGATTTCCTGTGTTTGAAAAATAACTTTTGTAACTTTTATTGATAAGCACTAAAACATTTTGAATGTATGGGAAAAGCTTGCAATTTGCCTGAAATTTAGAAACAGGGGTACTAAAGTTAAGTTTAATAACTCTTGTGTACATTTTCTTTTATCCCTATGTTAAGAAATCTTGTTTGGTTTGTCTTGTAGGTGAATAGACTTTTGGTGACATTACACAAGATGACAATTTCCACATAACATATCTCAATTGTAAATTTTCAAAATCATGCCCCTTTTGATCTTTTTGATATTAAAATTTTAATGATATTTGATGTGATATTGACAGCTTCATAACTTTTTGATCACATTTAAATTTTGCAAGATTTACATTACATAACATACGGTCATGACTTTATCAATAGTAATCTGCAGTTTGAAAACAATACCATTATAAATCATTAATAATGTGTTTTATTCCATTTCATCTCAGAAGATGCAGCAAAATGGCTTTCCCCTGTCAGCATAAAACAAAGATAAAAGATGTCTAAAGATCAAAGAAAAACATCAAAGGGTCCACCCCTAATTAGGTAATCAATTTAAAGGAGATTGTATACACTTTAATTGCATCACTAATCAATATGAATGTTGACATTAAAATTCATAAAATGATCCAGTGTATTTGTTTTAGTGTAAGCTAATATTTGCCTATAGGTTGTGAGTGAAAGTTATCAATAATTTTATACTTATTAATTACAGGGTATTTTGTTATCAGCCGATAGATGGATAAATAGTTCATAAAAAGACGCTCTGTCAGTTTTCACATGACTGCTTAAATGTCATAGGCAAGCTGTATCCAAGGTTTATGATAAACATAATCTATTTCAAAAATATCTGGATCTTGATAATATGTATCATAATTTTTTTGAAACTAGACTGGTCCCAAGATTTATATTTGGCTTCATCTGAATCCAAAGAAACATTGTATTGAATACCAGTCTTGATTTAAGAATTTTAAATTCTAAATTCTATACCAGTCTGGATTTGATAATGTAAATGTTTGAAAACTAGTATGAATTTGGATCTGGTATTCTCCTTTTTGTTGAAACCATTATTAGGTAATGTAAAATATGATTATTGTCATACTGAAAACCAGTCTGTGTCGATATCCAGTCTGAATTGAAATACAAATAGAAAACCAGCCTGTATCTGGATCCTGGAAAACTGACTGGTCAGTGCAAAAGGTAGAGTACTGTAGGACTGAGTGGCGTCCATGGCTGAGTGGATAAAGTTGTCAAACCACCTGTCACTGTTGTAGGTTCGAGCTGTGAGAGAAGCCATATGTGTGTGAATCTGGCAAACTGGGTTTGATTTTGTATGGTGCAGGTCACTTTTGGTTTGATTGATCATGAAATAATTTCTAAAGTCAATCACACTGTATCTCTGCTCTGGCATGTTCAGAAGTTATTAGTTCCTTGTGAAAATGAAGGCAACTAGTACTGGTTAACTGCTGAACAGCCTGCCCAGGAACGATGCAGTGGCTGAACTGTGCTCTGATGAATTCGTGATGTCTTACTGTCATGATCTTGAGGGTAAACTACCAACTACCAACAGCCCCACCATATCTTGATCCTGGATAATTTGGTTAGGTTGAAATCAATTCATCAGTATTTTAATATATTGTTTTCTTCCTTGACCATAAGGGGGCAATTTTAATTTCACCAAAAAAAAAGAAAAAGAAGTCAGTTTTGACAACTCTTTTTTTTTTCAGATTTTTTTTTTTTCTGAATATTATATTAATCAAGGAAAAAAACAGCATACTTTATTTAAGTTAGGCTGTACCGTTTATTTATATCCAGTGTATGTCCTAGATAAAATAAAGATCTATAGTAATGGGATGTAAATTGTTGACCATTACAAGATGGTCAGTTGTTGGTCAACTAATTTGTCATATTTCACGCAGGTTGACAGTTCATAAGGTGATATAGATGCTGAAATTGCCAACAATATAAACAAGTGTTTAATAGCCTTCTCATGTTTGTGTTGGTAATTTTATACTCTTGTTCTGATAAAACATGTTTATTTATTTTGGATTTTATATATTACTGGATTGAAGTAGGGAAATATTTTGTTATTTAATTGGATATTAATATTTTATTGGATTGGATATTAATATTTTATTGGGTAAGTATTATTCTGAAAATGATTAATTTAAGTTTGCGATGTTTGTTTTGGAATTTATTAGATTTCTCAGAATTGAAAAAAAGAGGTCATTGGTATTGAGGAGGTTACATTTAGATTAATTAATGTTAAAATTTATTTTATATTGGTGAATTATACAATTTTATTGTTTTGTTTTTTTTGCATTATTTCTACTTGTGCACAGTTAAAGTACATATAACCAGTGTTAGTTGCCTTCATGTTAGCATGGATCTAATAACTTCTGTCCATGCCAGGGCAGAGGTACAATGCAAATGATTGAGATCAGTCACAACCACGTGACCAGAACCATCAGGGTTGTCCAATTTACAAACCAAAGTCCTACCTATTCAGCTAAGTTACCAGATGGAAATGAACTAACATTCTTTAAGTTGGTATGTAATAATATACACCTATTTCTTGCTGGTTGTTTGGAAATGACGTTGAGGATCATATTGCAAACAAGGGTTTATATATGGTCATATAACCTTAACAAATTTATATCACAGCAAACTTCCTTTTTTATAGAAAAAAAGTGAGATTTCTTCATATATTGACAGCACCTGTTTATATAAAACTAAATAAACATCACAATAATTATTGTCCAATGAAAAGCAATGTTACAAACCTGCAGTAGTATAATAAGAACTTTAAACTACCAGCATCTTTAGGCTACTGCAATTATTATGGAGCCATGCTGGCCTTTTGACCAAAATCAATATTGTTGGAATATTTTATTTTAGCTTTCTTATATCGGTTTAAACATATTTATTGATATATATATACATTTTGCATGGTGAACAATATTTACACAATACATTTTAGGGATTGAGCAGAAAGATATGAAAGCTTAAGAGTGTACTCTTTTTCTTAATTTGAAATTCCTCTTATTAACAGTGGACAATCCATAATTCAAAACAAAGACATGGCCTTTATAGGAATTTAGTAAGTAAAAGGTTAATGTAAAAGTGTCAGGTGCACCTTAAAACTAAAACTTTTAAGACAAATTTTCACTGACATATTTTTTCTCAGAAGGGTATGGTAGCTGTCAAAAGGGTGTTCTAATTAATAGCTAATTGTCATAGTATGACAATATTAATTATTAAGACAATCTAGTATAACTGTATAACTGCACTGTATTATTAGGCTGTGGGTTGTCACATCAAAGTGACCATGTACCGGTCAGATATGTCATTCTGGACACTAACTTCACACCAAAGGTGTCTGCCTTAACATTCCTCAAAGCAAGCCTGTCTTAGATCATATAAATATTACATGTCCGGCCAGGCAATAAAAGGTGATATTGTCCCCTTTGTTGTATATTAAAAAATTTTCTTTGTCTTCTCTCTTTAATTATAGTTTGGCATTTGCTTACCCCTTTCTCTTCTCTCTTAATTATAGTTTGGCATTTAAATTTTTTTTTACCCCACTCTAGGTGGAGCATTTAGATAAGCCCCCGTCCATCCATCTGTGTATGCTTTTGTCCGTCTGTTCCAAAATGTTGTGTCATGTGTCGCTCTAAAAGTACTTGAGCTAGAGTCAACAAACTTTCCAAGAATGTTGATCAGCATGTGAAGTTGTGCACCTTGGCTTTTGCATGTGGATAAATTCAGTTTTGTTAGAGTGATTGCCCTTGACTTAGTAAAAATTAGCATTTTTCAGATTGTGTCTTGAATAGCCCAAAAGTATTTGACCTGGAGTCATGAAACTTTTCAGAAATGTTGGTCAGCATGTGTAGTTGTGAATTATTATACAGAATTTATCAGTTCCTTATCAGTGCAGGCAACCAGTACTAGTTAACAGCTCAGCCTGCCCAGGAACGATGCCGTGGCTGAACTGTGCTCTGATGAATTCAAAGTGGCATACATAACATTACATTACAACATCGAGAAGGTCGATGGTTCTACTCTGATGCCAACTTGTGCCTGAAATAATTTTAAAGTAACACGTTAGGTCTTCCACCACCAGTAAAGCTGGATTGTAGCTATAGGTATCTGGACCTTTTTCGTGTTTTGATTCGACCTGAATCGAAATTAATTGAAAATTTCTGAAAAGTTCATCTCATGGTGAATTCTATAGTGTATATTTAAAAAATTTTCAGACTTGGCAAAAAGATTTATCAACACTTGTAGGATAGTACTTATGAAGACTAATTCGGTTTTCGTGTCTAGTTCCCTAAAATTGAATTACCGAAACTGAGGAGACGCCACGTAATGAAAATATATACAATGAATCACTTGGTAATATGTTGTTATTAAAGGAAAATTGTATTAAATATATTTTATGACTACATATTGAAACAAGAGTAGTAAAAATGTCTTTTTAGCATAGTTAGGATGTTGATAAGTGATTTTTTATTGCTCTGTGGCGCGTACGAAATTTGATCATATCGGTACCTTAATATGCATTTTATGACGGCTCATAATGGTATAGAAAACCACAAATTAATAACATGAAGTCTTATTGTCAGGGTTTATGTGAGAATAAAAAACCCATCCTTTGAAACATCATTATTATCTGAAATGCAAAAAAAGAATACTCGTCAGAAAATAAGAGGCTTGTTGGTTTGAGATTTTGAACTTTTGGGCTATATAATTTGGGAATATTGGGCTGTGCCACAGCCATGTTGCCTTTATGTGATCAGTGCACTTTGACAAGATTCAATACTGTTAGAAGCCCAGTTGTCACATCTTGATAATGAAATACCTTAATAAACAACAAATTATTAAAAAATGGAAGTATTCAGGGCAGGTCCATCGTATGACAGTCATAAGTTGTAGATAAAAATGTTAAAATGTTAATTGTAGTCCTATTTTAAGATTGTCTAAATTTTACTGAAGCAAATATGATAAAGAGAAGCTTAAAAGTTGTAAAATATAAAACATGTAATTATTTTCGGAGAAGACATTAAGTTGTCATTTAACAATATGATAAGAATTTTCCTTTTTCTAATAAAATATTCTAAAAAAATCAATTTGTCACTTAAATGTAAGAATTTTACCAAAAACAGGAAACATACACATTTAATACGCGCCTTTAGTGTAACACTAGCATTTAGCGCACTCTTACGCTATGATTGTATAATGCGATGATGTCACGTCCAAAATATATCAATGAGCGTGCCATACCATTTTTATGGAGTCGCAAAAGCCAAATTGGTACAATATGTGATAAAAGAAGTTAACCTATCACAACACTTAGGTGACAATATGAACTAAAAAGAAAAGAAAAATGTTATTAACGAGAACAGTTAGCAAGAAGCAAAAGAAAGGTGTTGTAAGAAAATAACTGGAGAAAAGGGTTATAATGAGGTTAAAGATACGCAAATCAAAAAAAATAATAAATAAACAAATTATTCAATCTATGAGAGAGAAGCTTTAACTAAAATGATGAACGAGGATTCGTTTTTAGTAGATTTTAATCTTGAAAATCAAACGACTCTATTTAACAAGGTAAATGACTAAGTTTTTGGGGTAGATTGGCAGATATTTAATCATCGTGATTCATAATGAATTCATTTCACTGTGGAAATTGAATTAATTATCATATTTCTTCATACCATACGAGCACAGAATGTGTTACTTTGAATTTTGTATTTGGTTACAAATTGAAAATTTTTATCTCGTTTTTTCCATTACTAGTATTTGATGTTTTGAGTCTATAATATTTTATAGCTACTGTATATGGCAAGTAAATTTGTATAATGTTTGTATGAAAGAACTGCTGACATGCCTTTGTGATGCAGCGTGGTCCTCCCATACATGTATTGCTGGATGTGTTGACATGACAGTGCTGGTTTGAATTCAAATCCCAAATTATCCTCTCCATTTATTAATAGCACTTCATTTTTTAGCTGCAAAAAATATATACACCACCAGTGATTTTCAAAGAAAGTAGAATGATATATAAAAGTGTCAGTGAAGTTTATAACAACATAATGCTAGTGAAATATCAATTTAGATATGTAGCAAAAGTTATAGTGAAATTTCCAGTACTTTGAGAATTTGAACTGAGGGTCAAGGTAATTTTGGGTCAAGGTTATATCTCTTTATATCAGACAAATTGTCTTGTTTAACCCTTATTCTGCTTCAACCCAAGTGACCAGTGCAGACAAAGATCAGACGGCAAATCTGTGCAGTCATGCATGTGGCAAATGCTCATTGAAATTCAAGACGATAAAAAATCCAGTTTTGAGCCCCCAAATTCTACTGGTAATCCAGTTTTAGGCCATTTTTGTCACATGTATATGTGCCATTTGATCTAATGGTCTGCACTATTTGGTATTCAATCTGTTCTTATTTTGTAAATTTCCCTAAAAAATGATGAAATGGAAGATGGACAAGTCCCTTTAAGTAATTCAGTGTTGTTAGAGTAAAAACACAATTTTCTGGACATGTTTTGCATAAAGGGAATTATCTGAATAATTCAGAGAATTATTGACATGTATAGAATGATACTGATATTTTCAAGTATCGTATTATCCTTATTAAATATTGAAATAAAACTGCTCTGTCTGCTGCACTACATCAGTCCTAATTATTCATGCATAGACACCCAGTATTGTCACGATCTAATTACATAATACACTTTAACCAATTGATACTTTAACATACTAGTTTATCATATATTGCCATGGTATAACATCAATGTCACAAAACTATCAAAATTAAAATTCCGATAATTATTAGATGTCATTCAAACAAAGACTCGTTAAAATAATATAGATGCATTATAAATAATTATATTATATAAATTATATCAATTTAAAATTCCAATTATAATTATTATATATCATTCAAACTAAGAGTAGTAAAAAATAATATACTTTATATATGCACGTATATATAATTATTTTCATTACAAAAGTGCTGTTTTGAGCCAGTTTGCAATATCAAACGCTTATAGATGATTAATTGATTTTTTCAGTGAATTCGATATATGACATTACTGCATGTTTCCGGTCTGTTGAACTCCGGCTTATGTCTCTGGTACTGTGTTTATGTCTGTAGTAGGCAGGTTTGGTAGCGCAGGTCGCGGGGTGATTTGGAGCAATATGATATGGTAATAATTATATCAGTTCATTAAAGATGTAATATGAGCATTTACTGTCTGGTATGACATGAGTTAATGCTGACAATTGTGTCAAATTAGCCAGATATTTGACACATCATTGTGTTTTGTTTATGCCCCCGCCATGTAATGGCCGGGGCATATAGTGTTACCCTGTTCCGTCCTTCTGTCATTCCGTCATTCCGTCCTTCCGTCATTCTGTCATTCCGTCATCATCAGTTTCCGTTCATTATCTTAGTAACGGTTGCACATATTCAACTCAAATTTGACATATGGATATGTCATTAGAAAATACAGGTCAAGTTCGAATTTGGTCATGGTTCGATGATTTTTGGCAGAGTTATGCCCCTTTTACTTTGAAAATAATATGAAATTTTGAGTTTCCGTTCATTATCTCCACAACGGTACAACACATTCAACTCAAATTTGACATATGGATATGTCATTAAAAAATACAGGTCAAGTTCCAATTTTGTCATGGTTCGATGATTTTTGGCAGAGTTATGCTCCTTTTACTTTGAAAATAATATGAAATTTTTAGTTTCTGTTTATTATCTCCCCAACAGTACAACACATTCAACTCAAATTTGACATATGGATATGTTTTTGGAATGCCCAGGCCCAGTTCGAATTTGTTCATTGTTCAATGATTTTTGGCAGAGTAATGCCCCTTTCACTTTGAAATTAATATGAAATTTACAGTTTCTGTTCATTATCTACCCAGCAGTGTTACATATTCAACTCAAATTTGACATATGGATATGTCAAAGGAATGGGCAGGTCAAGTTGGAATTTGGTCATGGTTCGATGATTTTTTTGGCAGAGTTATGTCCCTTTCACTTTGAAAATAATATAGATACAGCAGTTTAAGTTTGAATTTGGTCGTGGTTCAATGATTTTGGACAAACTTATCTTTCTTGAATATTGGAAAATTTTTGAACTTTCAGTTTCAGCACTCATACTTTTGTGGAAATGTATGTAGCCATTATTTTGGCTACAAATATGAAATATGCTATTTTCAAAAGGTTAAGACTGAATAATTTCAGTGCCTTGAACATTGTATGGAAATGGTTTGTGTTAACATTGAAAAGTTTTAAGGGCTTTGAACTTTAAATGAAAACAATAATTTGTGCAAACAAATTTGGAACTAAATATTATAACATCTGAAATTTTGGCTGCATGCGGGGGCATCCGTGGCATGATGACACATTTCTAGTTTATACAGAATTAAAGGGTTTTTTTCTGACAATAGGTAAAGAATTTTTTTATATATAAATGTCAGATATTATGAATTTCCTCTAGTGGTGATCAGACTTATAATTTTGGAAGTAGTGTGAAATGTGTTTGGTTTATTCACTCCAATTTTAGAGTTTATGCCAAACAGGATACCATATAAAATAACATTGAAGTTTTCAGTATTAAAGATTTCTTGAATGCATCCTTATGTAAATTCATGGTATTATTTTAAATTTGGGTTTTACGTGGCACCAATTCAGTAAAGGGTCATAATTATGGCAACTTTCTTGCTTGACTGAAAGAGGAAGACCTCAGGTGCCCATCTCTGCATTATTTCAGGTACGAACTGGCCGCCAAGTGGAACCACCGTCTTTCCAAACTTTATTTTTCAACCAATTTAAGTTTTGAAATCTGCCAAAGCTGGTTCTAGTGGGCTCCTAAGAAGCATGGACCCCACTTATAGACAGTTGCCACAATTTTTCAGAAAATACAGTCTCGTCCCATGTTTATACACAAATTAGACCATACATGTAGTAGAAAATATGTAATAATATTTATAATATTTGATCTAATTATAGTACATTGTGTATTTCAATAAGAAATAACTGAAGTAGAAAGATAAAAAACCTTCAGGTTTTGGCATGAAGGTCGGGCAATTTGATACTTAATTTTACTGATATCATCATACCGATACAAAATTATGCAGAAAGATTTTTCAATCGTGTCGACTGTTTAATTGAGATTTTCAGATATCCAGAGCTTTTTTATTCATACCGAATTAGACTTTACATGTATATACATCATTTATAAAAATAATCTATTTTTAGGTTATTTGTTTTCTTATGTAATAGAATATTCTCTTGGATGTTGAAGTGTTTAATCTCTGAATTTGGATTAAATTTGTTTTTCTATGAAGGTTAGAATAATGTTTTGAAATTGCTTTTTATACCGAGTTGGTGAGATGTAAAAATCTACCCTCAAAAAAGGAAATAATTTTTCTATATGAAATGATATTTGAATGAATTGTTGAATGAATCTGAAAATTTTTTGCCTTCATTCTGAAGATATCATAAATTATTTCTATTTTTGTACCACTGGTATGTTAAGTCATAATGGCAATGAGTACCACAGACTGGGCAAAGCTTAATGCACTAGACTATAGTAATGATGGACCTCCATCTGAGGAAATTAAATTAACCCATACTTCTACATTTGGATTTTTAAACCATTGGTAAAGGCCACACCCTAATATGGAAAACTATTGCTGCTAAAAGTACCAGCAGTGTGATTGGACATATCCCTAAGTATTTTGGCTGCTAAATAAAATTTCCATAGCACAGGAACAGAAGGAATGTAAACCATTTGCTCATTTTCCTGCTTTTCCCCCTACCTTTTCCAAGGGGTGGAAAGGTGCTATGGTTACAATATACTTGTGCATAAATAGACCCTTGACTGTTGCCTGCATTTTGACAGTAATTATTCACATTTTAATTCTTCTGAAATTGACAATGGATAGTTCAAGATTTGAAGCTGGGCTAGTCTATTACGTAAGTTAAGTTGTGGTAAAGTTCAATTCCACAAAACAATCGCCACTTTTTTACACTTCTGTATGTTTTTGATGAAATATTTGAAGAAAATCCTTGCACACCAGATGATCTGTGGCTCTGCCCAATTTTAATATTGTAGGACAAAATTGTCACATTTTTGTTCAGGTGTAATGTAATTTATAACCTGAAATAGAGTCGTTTAAATGCAGGCGTAAGATATAGATGATAGTGTTTTGTGAGCGGGAGGGGTAATTACGACAGTATATTGTGAAGAGCTCAATACTTCAATGATTACCAACATGCTAATGTTGATTTCAGGCTACCCGAACCCCTTTGAATTTAAATTGATGGTTAATGGCCTGATTTTTCAGACTGTTACATGAGCATTAATTATTTCGATGTTATCTTAATGCGTCTGTCTTCCTTCAAGAATAATGAAAGCATAATGTAATAGGAAACCGGCCATAATTGCTACAATATTTCTAACTTTCAATGTCATGTTTTGAATGAAGTCATACTGATTTATGCTAAAAGAAGGCAACAATTGAAACCAGCATTGAAATTATTTCAAAAGGAATATAAAGTATGTTTTGAATTACATTGTACATGCATGCAAGAGCTTGCGGCTATAAGCCATTGTCACAAATAGTAAGTAAGGCAAGCCAATGTCTCCAATAGTAAGTAAGGAAGGCCAATGTCTCCAATAGTAAGTAAGGAAGGCCAATGTCTCCAATAGTAAGTAAGGAAGGCCAATGTCTCCAATAGTAAGTAAAATGTCTCCAATAGTAAGTAAGGCAAGTCAATCTCACCAATAGTAAGTAAGGAAGGCCAGTGTTACCAACAGTAAGGCAAGGCAATGTCACCTATAGTAAGCAAAGAAGGCCAATGTCACTAATAGTAAGCAGAGAGGGTCAATGTCACCTGTAGTAGGTAAGCCAAGCCAATGTCACAAAATTAGTAAGTAAGGCAAGCCAATGTCACCAATAGTAAGTAAGGCAAGCCAATGTCACTGATAGTAAGTAAGGCAAGCAAATGTCACAAATAGTAAGCAAAAAAGGCCAATGTCACCAATAGTAAGCAAGGCAAGTCTGCTCATCTGAATAGCCAGATATCATGTACTCTATCTTTCAACAGCTTTTTGTGCCCCCACTTTAGTGGCGGGCATTTAGATTTAACCCTTGTCTGTCTGTCCGTCCGTCCTTCCGTCTGTCCGTTCACTTTTGTGTCGCACATAACTCAAAAAGGATTTGACCTAGAGTCATGAAACTTTACAGGAATGTTGATCAGCATGTGTAGTTGTGCACCTGGGTATTTTCGTCTGGATATTTTAAGTATTTTTAGAGTTATTGCCCTTGTCTTAGTAAAATTTTGCAATTTTCAATTTGTGTCGCATGTAACTCAAAAAGTATTTGACCTAGAGTCATGAAACTTAACAGGAATGTTGATCAGCATGTCTAGTTGTGCACCTGGGTATTTTCGACTGGATATTTTTAGTATTTTTAGAGTTATTGCCCTTGACTTAGTAAAATTTTGCAATTTTCAACTTGTGTCACATGTAACTCAAAAAGGATTTGACATAGAGTCATGAAACTTTACAGGAATGTTGATCAGCATGTGTAGTTGTGCACCTGGGTATTTTTGTCTGGATTTATATAGTATTTTTAGAGTTATAGCCCTTGACTTTGAAAATTTTTGCAATTTTCAATTTGCGTCGCATGTTACTCAAAAAGGATTTGACATAGAGTCATTGAACCTTATGGGAAGGTTGCTCAGCATATTTAGTTTTGCACCTGGGGTTTCGCTTGTGGATTTATCCAGTATTTGTAGAGTTATTACCCTTGACTTAGTAAAAACCGTTTCATTATGTTGTTATTTGTTCCTTGAGTGCTTGAGTTAGAATCAACCAACTTTACAGGAATAATGATCAACATCACTAAATTACAGGAATATTGATTCACATCTCTGTGAAGCTATGAACCTGGGACTTTGCATGTGGATTTTTTTTCAGTTTTGTTAGAGTTATTGCCCTTGACTAACAGTAGTATAAATTTGCAATTTTCAACTTGTTCATGCATAGCTCAAAAAGTATTTCACTTGTAGGCCTGAAAGTTTACAAGAATGTTGGTCAGCATGTGTACTTATGCACCTTGGGGTTTGCTCGTGGATTTATTCAGTATTTGTAAAGTTCTTGCCCTTTAA